TTAGGTAAAACTCTCCCTCTCACCTTTCACAAACGTGCCCATAATAATGCTAGAATAAGAATTTAACACCAAATTTTACTCTACATCAAATTTAGAAAGAGAAAAACACTTAATAAGTCAACTTTGGGGCAAGTGATACTTGGGAAAAACAGGTAATTTTAAAATGCTGTGTATCTCCCAGAAAAAGTCTGGGTTCTCTGTAATAATAGTAATCACTAACATTTATTGAAAACTTATTATATGGCAGGGATTTTTAACATGCATATTCTCATTTAATTCTTCTCTTGAGCTTATGAGGTAGATGCTATTATTTACATCTTACCGACGAGAAACTGAGGTTAGTTGCCTTTTGAATCAATGCTAAGAATGGGTGTGGCTGGGATTCAGACCCTGTGGTCTAACAAGAGAGCCCACGCTCTTCAGTACCACGTATTTGCTCAAGCTAGTGCCTAGCAGGATTAATCTTCTTTTCTGGAGTCCTTATTTTCTGTTAGAGCCTGGAAAGAATTCAGGCTCCGATCTTGTATTCTGCTTTGGATTATTTTTTGGAGATAAGGTCTCACTCTGTCACTTAAGCTGGAGTGCAGTGGTGCAATCAAGGCTCTCCTCAGCTTTGACTTCCTGGGCTCAAGCCATCCTCAGCCTCTCGAGTAGCTGGGATTGTAGGTGTACACCACCATGCCTGGCTAACTTTTGCTTTTTTTTTAATAGAGATGGGGTCTCACTATGTTGCCCAGGCTTGTCTCGAACTCCTAGGATCAAGTGATCCTCTGCCTTGGCTTCCCAAAGTGCTGGGATCAAGCATGAGCCACTGTACTTGGCTGTTTTTTTTTAATTGACAAATAATTATATGTATTCATTGTGTACAATATGATATTTTGAAGCATTCCTAAATTGTGGAGTAGTTAAATTTAGTTAATTAGCAAATATAATGAATGCCACATCCAGGGTTTGTAAAAAGGAAAAAGAAACAGAAAAAGGAAAAGGAAAAAAAGAAATGTATTAAATGTATTACCTCACAGCTATCCTTTTTGTGATGAGCGCACTTATCCACTCTCCTTGCATTTTTCAAGGATGTAGTATATTGTCATTACCTATAGACACCTTGATATATCCACCTAGATTGCTTGCTAAACATAGCCTTTCAACTATAATATGTAAATTGGGCTTACTGCAAAAAGAAGTGATATTTGTGAAAATCTATGGGAGACATTTAAAACTTCCAGTTGAGCAGGAATTCTTAATATGAAAAATAAAGAAGGTAGTAAAATTTACTAATTTAAGGCCGGGCGCGGTGGCTCAAGCCTGTAATCCCAGCACTTTGGGAGGCTGAGGCGGGTGGATCACGAGGCCAAGAGATCGAGACCATCCTGGTCAACATGGTGAAACTCCGTCTCTACTAAAGATACAAAAAATTAGCTGGCACGGTGGCGCGTGCCTGTAATCCCAGCTGCTCAGGAGGCTGAGGCAGGAGAATTGCCTGAACCCAAGAGGCAGAGGTTGCAGTGAGCCGAGATCGCGCCATTGCACTCCAGCCTGGGTAACAAGAGCGAAACTCCGTCTCAAAAAAAAAAAATTACTAATTTAAAATTACCACATGCAAATGCTGTACGGTTGTTTTTTTGAGAGGTAAGGTATGTTAACCATGTTGTTTCAATAAAAGCAAGTCTTTATATAGTGCCTAAAGTTTGAAAATTACCATGCTGAATGTAGTAATAGATTTCAATAAATAGAAAAGCTAATGTAACATTCTGTTCAGTTCCGGTTAGGTATAAACTTGCACTTTTATCCAACCATTCATTCACCCATTTATTCATTCATTTGATAAATGCTTATGAGACCTCATTGGGTGCAAATTAGCCAGTTAGGATATTGACTTCCATATAATAAGAAACAGAACAGGATAAGGTTATAGTTATATCTAGAAAGAGCTACATACAGTACATCTAGAACTGACAAGCAGAAAAATCTAGCCACTATATGGCTAGATTTTTTCAGTGAAAACCATTTGGCTCTTAAAAATAATTTCTTATGTTTGTTATCAATTCAAATGTTTACTTTCCCAGAACATACATGTCATGTCATGAGTTTTCCATCCCTATCAATAACATAATATTTAAAAGTAAGTTCTTGCTAAGGCATATTAATATTGATTACATGATGGGGAATTTGTATCAATAAGTATTAGTCCTGTCTCTTTTTGGGACTCTCGTACTGCTTTCACAATACAGAAACATGCTTTAAAAAAAAGCAAAACAATTAAGTTCACCATGTAAATATATATTGGAAACTGTTCCCAGGTATGCTGCAAGTAGGAATTTAATACCTCAGTTGTGCAATTAAATTCCTGGCAAAAATAGCATGATCTTCTTAGAAATATATGTTCAATTCAATTACTCAGACCCAGGCTATGAATAAAGAGGCTATTACAAAGATGTGGTAAGAAAAGGAAATGAGTATGTGGAAGAGAGAGCTGTACTCGGGTGTTTGTTGCAGCACTATTTACAATAGCCAAGTTGTGGAATCAATTGAAGTATCCCTCAAGAGATGAATGGATACAGAAAATGTATACACTGGTGCAGTGGCTCACGCATGTAGTCCCAGGTACTTGGGAGGATTGCTAGAGCCCAGGAGTTGAGGCTGCAGTGAGCTGTGATCATACCCCTGCCCTCCAGCCTTGGCAACAGAATGAGATCTTGTCTCTCAAAAAAAATGTCACACACACACACACACACATACACACACACACACTCTAATTCTAGCTACTTGGAAGGTTGAAGCAGGAGAATTGCTTGAACCCAGGAACTGGAGGTTAAAGTGAGTCGAGACAGTGCCACTGCACTCCACCCTGGGCAACAAGGACGAAACTCCATCTAAAAAAAAAAAAAGAATCCTGTCACTCACAGCAACAGCAACATGGATGAACCTAGAGGACATTATGTTAAGTGAAATAAGTCAGGCCACAGATAGATAAATACATGTTCTCACTGGTATGTGGAAGTTAAAATTTGACTAATAGAAGTAGATAGTAAAATAGTGGTTACTAGAGGCTGGGAAGGTTTCGGGGAGGTGGGAATAGGGAAAGATTGGTTAGAGGTTACAAAATTACAGCTAGTTGGGGGAATACACTACAGTGCTCTGTAGCTCTGTAGGGTGAGTATGGTAAATGCTAGTTTATTGTATTTTTTTCAAATAGCTAGAAAAAAGAATTTTGAATTTTACCAACACAAATAAATGATAAAGTTTGGAGGTGATTGATATGCTAATTGGCCTGATTTGATCATTACACACTCTACATGAACCAAGAAATTACCCTGTTTCCCATAAATGTGTAATTATTATGTGTCAATTACAAATACATATCTGTTTTTTAAAATTAATTTTAAAAAATTATTGGGCCACATGCAGTGCCCCACGCCTGTAATCCCAGCATGCTGGGAAGTAGAGACGGGTGGATCATCTGAGGTCAGGAGTTTGAGACCAGCCTGACCAACATGGTGAAACACCATGTCTACTAAAATTACAAAAATTAGCCAGGTGTGATGGCACACACCTGTAGGCCCAGCTACTCAGGAGGCTGAGGCACGAGAATTGCTTGAACCTGGGAAGTAGAGGTTGCAGTGGGCCAAGATTGCACCACTGGACTCCAGCCTGAGTGATAGAGTGAGACTCTGTCTCAAAAAAAAAAAAAAAAAAAAAAAAAATTAAAGAGATTTTTGAATCCTCTCCCAAAATGACATGAAAGATACATCACAGGCCGGGCACGGTGGCTCAAGCCTGTAATCCCAGCACTTTGGGAGGCCGAGGCGGGTGGATCACGAGGTCGAGAGATGGAGACCATCCTGGTCAACATGGTGAAACCCCATCTCTACTAAAAATACAACAAAAATTAGCTGGGCGTTGTGGCACGCACCTGTAATCCCAGCTACTCGGGAGGCTGAGGAGGAGAATTGCCTGAACCCTGGAGGCGGAGGTAGCGGTGAGCCGAGATCGCGCCATTGCACTCCAGCCTGGGTAAGGAGAGCGAAACTCCATCTCAAAAAAAAAAAAAAAGATACATCACAATTTTTAAAACCTTATTTACTATATTTTGCATATACTACAATGTAATGCTTTAAAGTTGGCCTAGAATACTAGAAAAGCTTTCTGGAATTATGTAGTTATACATCACTCAGATCCAATAAAATTGTGCCTAGAACCTTTATTAGAAACATAAGTATAATTTCCTAACACAGGAGATTTTAAATCCTTAGTGTTATTTATTTTCTTTTTTTCCCCTTCACAGAAGTAGACAGAATCCACTGGTATAATTACAGTGGTGAAGATAGTAAATCGTGTTTTTGTTGTTTTTAACCATTCCTCATTATTTTGTTTCCAAAAACTTGTTAAGACGTTTTATTTGTAAGGACAAAGACTCCCAGAAGCCACTCTTTGCAGCCTCCATCTTTTATTCCCTTTGTGAACATGTGAAGTCCTCAGAGCGGCTTTAGCAGTATTAGAAGGTCTGATTTGTTTGAAAAAGCTTCAGTGATCATAGGCAATGTATAAAGAGGCTTTGGCAAAATGAAAAGTAGAAAGCTTTGAAAGCAGCTGTAGGGATTTTGTCAATTGAGAAGTGAGTCCAAGATGGCAGAGTACATTGGAAAACCATTCAACTTGGGTCATTAGTTGCTTTTTGAGGTTAGTGTAACAGCTAGGGTCGTGTTATTATTGACCAATCAGCAAATTCAGCTGTGTCTCCAGGGTCCTCCAAAATGCTTTGCTGAGTAGCTGCAATGGTCTAATTTAAGGGAAAAAAAACAAATAACTCCACCTGCTCAGTTATATACTTTTGACTAAGGCGATAAAAACCGATTTCTAAGATGTTAGGAGGCCTTTTCAATCATGAAAGAGAATTGAAATTATGTAGTCAAATTTTATTTTGTATTTAAAATATTCCTTTCACTTTGAAGTATCATTTTATTCCTCTTTGAAAATTTTATATTATTCATATCAAAGATTTCAACTAACAATAAGAGAACTGATGCTTAGTGTACTTATTCTATATTTACTAAATGTTGATTTATGTTCTACGCTAGATACTGTGAAAGATGTAAAAAGCCAATAGGCAAAGTTTTTGCCTTCAGAAAGAGTGTCCTCTCTTTGAGGGAGGAAAAAATGCACAATATGAATAATCAGAATAAATAGCAACGAAAGGAACTATAAAACAAATTATACTGAGTTCCTTATGGTAGAAAATATAGATAATCACATACCAAAATGATTTTCATAGGTATAGTAGTCTTCTATAATAGTACAGTAGCCAGCAGAAGTGGTGTAGAGAGCATTCAGATTTTGAAAAAAAAAATCAGATTTAATGTCTGTTCCTGTGACCTACAATCTAATTCACTTTGGTTTCCCTCAGATAATTTTTACCTTGCAGGATCCTTTAACCACTGAGAAAGTAAAGGTCACATGTCAAGATGGATAAACATGGCCTTGCCCCTTTTTGCAGGTGAGACAACTTGCATGTGAAGAGTACCACATAGACTTGAGATCTTTTTCTAAGTCTTTCTTTGCCAAGAGCAGCAATAGAGGGAAAAAAAGCATAAAGGGGTCATCTAAAGGCGAGTGTTGAAGAGCTTTGTGGAAGTCCAGATGAGAGCATGTCCTCCACCTCACTGCTTAAAAATTTCTATAGCAATTTGACAAAGTAATTCTATGTCCGTCAGTTTAATTACAAAATATGGGGGTTATATTTTTTTACATCTTCATGGATTTTTTTTTTCTTTTTCTAAGTTATTTCTATCAAAATTTACTGTTTTATCAATGTGCACTTGGTTCTTTACCACAAATATTTTGAAAAGTCTTGTTCTAGTAGACAATCTGAACTCCACTAATTGAAACTTGATAGTTAGCACAATTTTTTTTTAACCAACTGCACAGCTTCTCCTGTTTTTCAACTGTGATGTATACAATATGGTCTTGTCAGGGTGATGTTGGCAGTTGGGGCTTTGTGGACTTCATGGTACCAGGCTGTCTGTGGCTGTTTGAAGAACTTCTGGGAGGCAGGCACAATACAGAGAATTTTTGCCAGCCTCATAGATGAGATAGATTCATTTTTGCAATTAAATTGCTGCAGGTTTATGAACACAGAACATCACAGCAGCAAGGGAATAGCATTTGCCTGATAAACAACACCAAGGCAAATGCCAGGCCCTCTAGAATACACGTAGGATCATGGGCACATTGCTTCAGGCTGACTGCTGTGCAGGTAAACACCAGCAGTCATCATTTCCCTCCCTGGTGATTTAGAAGACCCAGTCTTAAACTTTGGTAAATAACTTGGAAGAAGTGAGGACCAAAGAAGACATTTCTGACATCGTAAGCAAGCCACCTGGGAAGGGCAGGAAAGACATCCACAAACAAAAGCTCTCTCTTTCCTGCTCCCAATTCCTCCCAACTTGTGACTGCTTTTTAAAAACGTGTGTGTGTTTGTAAAGTTCTCAGGCACAATTGATTCTAGACTCTTAGATTGTAAATGTAAGGAGCTCAGGATGAGTTATTTTTGGATTTGATGGCTGGGAGTCAGAAAAGTCAGTATTAACTAACCATACTTTAGATTGTAAATGAATTGTCAATGAATGCCTAATTTCACCCCTTCCTTTTTGAAGCAAAAAAATAGCTGGATGATGTAATCTATTTGCCTATCAATTTTAAGCTTTTATTTTTTAAAAAGGATTTTAATAACTCTAAAGTATATTTCTACAAATACATTTTTATTTGGGCATTGTTCTCAGGTCTTCCTCTTCAATAAGAAAAAACTGAAGGCGGAATGCCAATTATAGGAACCGCAGGAAATTATTTTAGTAGTTGTTATTTTATTTGATTTTTTTTTTTTGTAGATAATTGTAGATTTGTATGTAGTGGTAGGAAATAAGAGAGATGTTCATTGGACTTTTTACTTAGTTTTCCCCAAAATAACAAATGCTTTGCATAAATGTAGTACAATATTACAACCAGAAAATTGACATAATCCACAGAATGTATTCAAATCTTACCAGTTTTACATGCATTTAAATTGCATAAAATCCATGCAGACATACACACAATTGTGTGTATCCACGTGTGTGTATGTCTGCATTAATTTGATGCAGTTTAAAATACATGTAATGTCTACATTAATTTTATGCAATTTTCTCCTATCTGTAGATTTGTGTTACGCAAGATAACAGAATACTTGCATCACAACTATCCCTTGTGCTGTCTTTATAACCAAAGCCACTTTGCTCTTTCTCCCCTCAGTTAACCCCTGGCAAACACTAATCTGTTTCCTTCCTTCTTATTTTGTCATTTAAATAATACTATATAAATTGACTCATAAGACATGCAAGATTATATGCTCGGCTTTTTAACTCACCATTATCCCCTTTAAATCCATTGAAGTCAGTTCAATAGTTCATTCCTTTTTCATTGCTGAGTAATATTCTGTGGCATGAATATACCAGTATTTTTAAAATGTTAACCCATTGAAGGACATTTGGATTGTTTCATTAGAGTCTTTTCTTTGTAATATAAATACTCTTCTCCGTTATCTTATTTTAGAAACATAGTATAAATTTACTGAGCACTCATGAGTTCCAGGTGGTGCACTAAACATTTTTCATGCAACAACTTCTTCATACAACGAATCTCTGCAGTGGACGCTATTAGTACTGCACTCGGTGAGTAGCTCTATCCTGAAATCCCAGGAGTGATCTCAATTACTGGCTGCAGCAGCAATGTGCAGGCGCCAAGCACAGCTTCCCCAGCCTCCATGGGAAAGCACTCATGGAGGGTAGGCAGCCTGTGGCCCAAGAACTCAAGCAGCTGCCTATTTACAGGAATGGCAGTGAGGCCTCAACTGGGAAAATGAAGTTGTCTTTTCTTTGGAGAGACTAGATAGCCTTGTTCGGGCAATCTCAAAATATAAAGGTCAAGACCTAGATTTATTCTAAAACCTATCCTCAAGGCTTAGTCAGAATTTCAGGAAAATGTGGGTGAAGGGCAGGCACTGAAGCAGTAGAGTAATGAAGGGAATCATATAGTAGGAACATTAGTGCTACAACCTGAGGGGGATGTGGGTTCACATCAGAAATGTAAGCAGTGGGCCCGGCATCATGGCTCACGCCTATAATCTCAGCACTTTGGGAGGCCGAGGCAGGCGTATCACCTGAGGTCAGGAGCTCAAGACCAGCCCAGCCAACATGGTGAAACCCCGGCTCTACTAAAAATACAAAAATTAGCCAGGTGCAGTGGCAGGCGCCTGTAATCCCAGCTAATCAGGAGGCTGAGGTAGAAGAATTGCTTGAACCCCGGAGGTGGAAGTTGCAGTGAGCCAAGATCATGCCATTGCACTGCAGCCTGGGCAACAAGAGTGAAACTTCATCTCAAAAAGAAAAAAAAGAAAAGTAAGCAATGAACTGTAAGGGAGTGGAGAGACTGAGATGATGTCACTAGTTATGCTTTGGGGTATGAGGTCAGCAGGACAGGAATGCTGTCAGTTTCTCTCATTCTCTTATTCATCTTTTTTGATCCTTAAGGGAGTTGCAGTGGCCCCAGGGAGTGTTGAGTTGATCACTTCAACAATGTTCCAGTAAGACTTGTAAAAACCCTAAGAGGTGAGTGATGTTGTGTAAAACACATACAGACACATACGATGGACCAGGAAATAAGAGACCTTGGCTCTTGTTCTGAGTTTGCAGAGCCCTTCAGACAAGTCACTTCATCAGTGTCCTCACATGCAAGATGAAACTATAATTTTGAATAATTTTCCAACATGAAAATGGAATAATCCTATGAAAAACACTGTAAACATTTCTATGCTATTTTGAACTATCACACTTAATTACTGAAACTATTGTTATTTAAATTGAACAACTTAAATCACAAAATTATTTGGTGATGTTTATCTGGAGATATGTACTACATATTATATAGATATATATATACACACACACTACATATTACAGATCTGTATGTACTGTATAGAAATATATTTTCCCATTTAGGAAATATAGAAAGAAGACTCTTTTTGGGGGTGTGCCATTAGTGGCTTTAAATATTTTCTTCATTTATATTTATCCAAATAAATGTGGTATTTTGTTTTGCTATGATGCTTTTATTGGAATTTGAGCAGTGAAAGCCAGCATGTAGCCAGAAAATGTAGGGGCAATACTGTGTGACTGAACGCTGTTAACCAAGGTAAAATCCGTTTGCTTAGCAGAATGGCCTATGTGGTCAGGGACGAGAAGAGAGGAATGAGATTTGAATAAGCAAAGCTCCGGAGTTCTTGCTTGAAATTGTTCCCTCTTCAATGAATTAAAGACTCCTCTAGACTGGAAGCTCTCCTTTGGGAAAGAGTTAAGTATCTAATGCATTGCATCACTAATATTCATACCTAGAGGTGATCTATTAGGGAGTTAACTGGAGAAGGAGGGAGATGGGGCAGAAGAGACGCCAAGGAAAAAGAAGCAGAGGAGCAGCTGGCAGAGGTCAGCCTTTAAGATGCCTTCTTCTCTAGGCTTCCTCAGCACTCCACTGGACATACAAGGATTCTGGGCTTGAAGGAACCCCTCCAGGAAAACCTAGAGCGAAGTGCCTCTATTATCATTCTACTAACATTAGATATAAATTGCCACTGATAAAAATAACTTTACAGGGAAATTGCTCCTGAGGAAGAAATTCATTGTCTAACCAAAGCAAACAATTTCATCTGAATCTGATTAAAAGCAATAATCTTTAACAAAAAGCTCTGTCAACACTAAACTCATTTAGCTGGTTTTTTAAAGTGTCTAACCCCAGCAAGATGTCTTTAGTGCTCATTAAAAGGAAAGCTTTGACATGCTTTTGTTTTCAGATCCTTGTATCTCTTTATTAATTTCAGTTAAAAAATATCTCACAAGCTGTCATTTTCTTTCAAATATTAATAATTTAAAAAATGGTGGATGTTCTGATAAGCCTCAGTGAATATGTTGTAACAGCAATTTTTGACTTGAGTATTCACTTCTGATTATTTCACTACTGATCATTTTTCCACTTAGAAGACCAAAGCACTTCACAAACATTAAGAAGAAAACATAATCCATAGGAATATTTCTCTGATGAGATAGTCAATTGCAATAATAAGTCTAGTGTATGTTGATATAATATTTACTGTAAACAAATTACCTGTTTGTTAATAGCCTTCTGTCGAAGAAGTAGAACAGCTATAATTTATTGTTTCTATTACAGATGAGAAAACAGCTTAGGAAGCTTATGGACACTAATCAAGGCATAGCATTAGTAGGGGTTCAAAGAGAATCTAGTACTTTCGACTCCTGATTATTTTATAATTTGACTCCCCCTCCCCTCTCCCCTCCCTCCCCTCCCCTCTTCCCCGCTCCCTCCCAGGATCTCACTCTGTTGCCCAGGCTGGAGTGTAGTAGTATAATCATGGCTCACTGCAGCTTCAACCTCCCAGGCTTAAGTGATTCTCCTGCCTCAGCCTCCCAAATAGCTAGGACCACAAATGCATGCAGGCATGCCCAGCTAAGTTTTTCTATTATTTATAGAGATAAGGTCTCACTCTGTTGCCTAGGCTGTTCTGGCAATCCTGGGCTCAAGCAATCCACCTGTCTTGGCCTCCCAAAGTGCTGGGATTTCAGGGGTTACCCACTGGGCCTGGTCTTCATTTTTTCTTTAATCATTAAAATAAATTGAAAATATCTGAGGCCATTTTGAACCTGTTAGATTCTCTGTGGTATTTCTTGTTTTGTTAACAGCCTCTAATAAACAACTAAGAGGAGTCCTCAGAATGGTAGACAGGAATCCTGCTGACAACTTTTGAACTCCTTTCCGTTTCAACAATGTGAAAGGGTGAAGAAACTGAAGATAGCAAGTGACTTGTAAGGCCTCTCTGGAAAGAGAAACAGAGATTGTAAGACTCCCATCCTCCTAGGGAGGGGAGGGATGCCTCTGCCTCCTTGCCTTAAGCCTGGATGAGTGGGCTTCCAGCAGCTGGATCAGAGTGCTCTAGGTGTCTTCCCTCAGTTCATGACAATCCCAACAGCAAGAAGGAAGAGGTTGTCATTTTTAATTACTGAAATCCCTACAGGGCAAAGAATGAACTTGCATTTTTCAGGGATCACATGCATGGCAATGCCCCGAAAGAGAAGAGCTGATTAAAATCCTGCTTAAGAGACCTGTCCATTGCGTGAGGGGGCAACAACAGAGCAAGGACACTAAGACCCAAGTTAGTAATCTAGGAAGGAGGAGGATTAAGAGAATAAAGAAAACCCTGTCCCTTCCCAGCCCCAAGTTCTAGCCCCGGCTGGGGAGGGAGTGAGGGAGTAAGCGTTTTTCTGTCTTTGATGAACACTGGAGCGTTGAATTGGAATATTTGACTTAAGATTGGAATGAGGGTTGGAATATACAGAACTGGATACTTTTAACTACTGAGTAGAGACTGTGTTTGCAACTTAGAAGAATTGGATGATTTTACTGTTGTGACAATCAAAAGTAAGGTGGGAGTAGTGGCTCATGCTTGTAATCCCAGCACTGTCAGGCTGAGGTGGGTAGATCACCTGAGGTCAAGAGTTCAGGACCAGTCTGACCAACATGGTGAAACTTCATCTCTATTAAACATACAAAAAGTTGCTGGGCATGGTGGTGCACACCTGTAATCCCTTGGGTGGCTGAGGTAGGAGAATTGCTTGAAGCTGAGAGGTGGAGGTTACAGTGAACTGAGATTGCGCCACTGCACTCCAGCCTGAGTGACATAACAAGACTCTGTCTCAAAAAAAAAAAGAGAACCAGAAGTAAAATTCTAAGTCCCCAGCCAACTGAAAAACCTTCCCCTTTGCCAAGGGCATTCCAAAGTTAACCCATAAAACTAGTTCAGGCCATAATGGGAAGGATCAGATATTCCTCCTCCTGTTGGAATTCAGGCACAGCTGACCAGCATTAGCATCAAAACAGAGACCTTGAGACAGATTAAACAGACCCCTTAAGTCTGATAAGAAACATTTACAATCTGTTCTCTCTAAAGTTGGCAATATGGTGGCTTCATCTGGTAATAAGAACCTTGGTCTCCAAAGCCCCTTATCTTAACCCAGACACTCTCTTCCATTGATTCCAGGTCTTTAGGTAATAACTCTTTCAGTCAGTTGCCAATCAGAAAATCTTTGAATCTGCCTGTGACCTGGAAGCCCCACCTGCTTCCAGTTGTCCTGCTTTTCTGGGCGGGACCAATGTACATCTTACATGTATTGATTGATGTCTTATGTCTCCCTAAAATGTATAAACCAAGCTGTAACCTGGCCAGCATGAGCAAATGTTCTCAGGATCTCCTGGGGCTGTGTCATGGGCCATTGGTCACTCATATTTGGTTCAGAAATCTCTCCAAATATTTTACAGTTTGACTCTTTTTGTCGACAGCTGTTTAAAGAGATAGTAAGTTATTGATTTAGTGGACTTCTTTCCAGTTGTATTCTTTCTTTCGCTACCATGAACATGGTTTTATATTTTGCTTTGTGTTTTTTATGATGGAATTATCATAAGTATTTCCATGCTGTTATGTAATCTTCATGATCATCATTTTAATGGCAGCATTGAGTTCCCTGTATGTAGGCCAGAATTTGCTTTCCCATTTTAAAGCTTTCAAAAATAGCCTTTAACAAATATTTTAATATTGTTTGTTTGTTTGTTTCTTAGCATATGGGTTTACTATCATCAAGATTTTTCTGATAACTTATATGCATTGCTTAGAATTATAAACTGCTCCATAATTGTAACTTCAACTTCTACTATTACCAAATATCTGAGAGAAAATTTCTATGTTATGCAAGGCAGTTTTGGATGTTATCTTTTTTAAAAAGTTTGATTTTTTTTTTTATGAGACGGAGTCTCACTCTGTTGCCCAGGCTGGAATGCAGTGGTGCGATTTCTGCTCACTGCAACCTCCACCTCCTGGGTACAAGCAATTATCCTGCCTCAGACACCCAAGTAGCTGGGACTACAGACATGTGCCACCATGCGCAGCTAAATTTTTGTATTTTTAGTAGAGATGGGTTTTCACCATGTTAGCTAGGATCGTCTTGGTCTCCTGAACTAGTGATCTGCCTGCCTTGGCCTCCCAAAGTGTGCTGGGATTACAGGTGTGTGCCACAGTGCCTGGCCAAAATTTGCTAATTTTAATAGATTAAAAGTTTAAAATTTGTTTTAAATTGTACCTTTGACTTATACTTCTTTGATAACTAGTGGTGTTTCGTGTTTTTCTAATTAATTTTGTACTCTGAAAGCATTTCTTGCTTTACTTATCTATTTAAAGAATTATTCCTAAATTTGGAATGATTTAGAAGTATTTTTCTAAATACTGAGACTTTAACAGATACATAGTACAATAACATAAAATAACATAAACAGGTAACATACCAGGGTGGAATGATAACAAGTAAACATATGAGACAGTGCTTGAATCACAGCAATTATCAAATAAATACAAATTAGAAGAGGAATGTTTATAAGTAAATTACCTCTTCGTTTACTTGGTATTGAAGTTGAACCCAATCTTTTATTTACCTTTAGTTTCTATTAACTTTTTCACATGTAAGAGCTTTTATTTTTATGGGGTCGATTAAAGGATTATTTTCTCTTTTTTTATATGTTTGTTTTACTTAGAAATTCAGCCTCCAAAATAAATAATCATATACATTTTCTCTAATAATAATTATATTTTTAATTCCTCAGGAATTACATATGTTATATGGCATGAACTGAAATGTGTATGGTTTCTCGCTTCCCTTTGCCTTTTGCCAAATTGTACTAAGGCCATTTATTAGATGATCCTTTTACTATTCTTTAGTCGGTAATGCCTCTTTTTTTGTTGCAGGGGAGAGCAGGGTCTCCCTCTGTGATCAGGCTAGAGTACAGTGGCACAATCACAGCTTACTGGAGCCTTAACCTCCTAGGCTCAAGCAATCCTCCTGCCTTAGCCTCCTAAGTGTTTGGAACTACAGCCACACATTACCATGCCTGGCTAATTTTTGTGGTTTTTGTACAGACGGGCTTCACCATGTTGCCCAGGCTGGTCTTAAACTCCTGAGCTCAAGTGATTCATCTACCTTGGCCTCCCAAAGTGCTGGGATTACAGGCATGAGCCACTGCTCCTTGCCTGTGAGGCCTCTTTTATCATATATGCAGTATCATTTCTTTTCACACACATGAATTGTTGCAATGGTCTGTATGTTTATTTGTAGACAAGTAGGCCAATGTTTTGATTATTTTACCTATACAATTTATATTAAATATATGGCTTTGTTATCAGAAAGGAGCAGGAGATAAGAACACCTGGTTTGGAAAGGGGCTCTGATCCATACCCCAGGAGAGGGTTGTTGGATCTCATGCAAGAAAGAATTTGGGTGAGTCCACAGAGTAATGTGAAAGCAAATTTATTGGAGAAGTAAAGAAACAAAAGAACGGCTACTCCCTAGAACAGAACAGCAGCATGGGCTGATCAACTGAGTATATTTATGGCGATTTCTTCATTATACGCTAAACAAGTTGTGGATTATTCATGAGTTTTCCGGGAAAGGGATGGGGACTTCCCAGAACTGAAGGTTCATCCCCTTTTTAGACCATATTAACTTCTGGATATTGCCATGGCATTTATAAACTGTCACGGTGCTGCTGGGAGTGTCCTTCGGTATGCTAATGTGTCATAATTAGCACATAGGAAGATATGAGGACCACCAGAGGTCAATTTTATTACCACTTTGGTTGTGGCAGGTTTTGGCCAGCTTCTTTACTGTATTCTCTTTTATCAGTGGGGCCCTTTTGTTCTATATTTTGTGCCGACCTCCTATCTCATGCTGTGACTAAGGATGCCTAGCATTCTGCAGTCCAGAGGTCTCAGCCTTATTTTACCCAGCCCCTCTTCAAGATGAAGGTGCTCTGGTTGGAATGCCTCTGGCAGTTTGGTTAGTTATTATCTTTTGAAAAATTTCAAAGATGTTCTCACCTGGTTATTCTTTTCTTTTTTTTTCTTGAGATGGAGTTTTGCTCTTATTGCCCAGGCTGGAGTGCAATGGCGTGATCTCAGTCCACTGCAACCTCCGCTTACCAGGTTCAAGTGATTCTCCTGCCTTAGCCTCCCCAGTAGCTGGCATTATGGGTACCCCTCACCACATTTAGATAATTTTTGTATTTTTGAAGAGACAGGGTTTTGCCCTGTTGATCAGGCTGGTCTGGAACTCCTGACCTCAAGTGATCTGCCTGCCTCAACTTCCCAAAGTGCTGGGATTACAGGTGACAGCCACTATACCCAGCCTTACCTGGTTATTCTTATAAATTAGGTTTAATTTCCTCAATATTCAAAACTGATTCCATTACAATTTTTATTCTCATCAAACTGAGTCTCCAGATTAATGTGAGCAGATTTAAAATCTTGACACTACTGAGAGATATAAAATAATAATGAAAAAATATATATAATATTAGATTTAAACATAGGCACGGAGGCTCATGCCTATAATCCCAGCACTTTGGGAGGCCGAGGTGGGTGAATCACGAGGTCAAGAGATCGAGACCATCCTGGTAAACAAGGTGAAACCCCGTCTCTATTAAAAATACAAAAATTAGCTGGGCATGGTGGCACATACCTGTAGTCCCACTACTCAGGAGGCTGAGGCAGGAGAATTGCCTGAACCCAGAAGGCGGAGGTTGCGGTGAGCCGAGATTGTGCCATTTCACTCCAGCCTGGGTAACAACAGCGAAACGCCATCTCAAAAAACAAAAAAGGATTTAAACATAAAATAAATGTTTACAGTTTTATCCCTACAGGTTTCTTATTTTTCTCATTGGAATAGTTTTTACGAATTTATTTTTGTTGCTATTTTAAATGGGAATTCTTGAATTTGGCATGCAGAATTGAAACAGATGTTTTCACATATATCTCTGACTCTTCTACTTTGATGAGCTCCTCTATGAATTTTAGTTTTCAATCAATTGCTTTTCTAGAGCTTTTGCATTATATCTTCTGCAACCAAAAAAAAAATTTCCTGTTTCTTTCTATTATGTTTTCACTTATTTTTGGTTCATAAATTATGAAACTGATCAGAATTTCTTAAATATCATTAGTTTAAAAATAGAGAAAAATCTTATTTGCTTTGCTAGTGATTTAAAGGAAGCGACTGTAGCGCATTCCCCACTGAGTATAATGCTGGATGTTGATTTGAAATAAACTCTCAGCCCATCTTTCTTGTCCTTTGTAAAGGGTTTTAAAATATAAATGGACATAATATTTTATCAAATGTTTTTTATCATCCCATTAAAGGGATAATATAATTTTTCTTATTTATCCTTTTTATGTGACATATGATGTTAATCAGTTTTATAAATGTAATGCACTTTTCATTCTTCGGATGAACATCATTTGGCATAACAAATAGTTGGCTTCTATTCCTGTTGTGCAAAGCAATCATGGGCAACGTCACTAGCAAAGCAGACTAGATTTAACACGGGTTTTGGGGAGAAAATTTACTAGCAGAGAAAAATGGAGCACAGGCATATTGCTCCAAATCTTATTGACCCACAACTCAGGGAGCAAGGATGGCTCCTGGTGCACAGAGACTCGTGTCACAGGTAAGCATCTCGCCCTCTGTATTTATGCAGAGGGCCAGAAACATCTAGGTGCATATGCAAGAGTGGAACTCCACTGTCTGGAAGAAGCCTTTTTAGAAAGGAGACCCCCGGAGACACAGTGGTGGGTATCAGCCTTTTCTTCCCTTGAACAATGCAAGTCTCCTGAGTCGGCTCTCTGCTAAATTATCAAAAGGGAAAGGAAATGCACCTCTAGGGCTAGGAAGATTTGTCTCTCTTTTGTTCCCTGTTACTTTATTTCCAGTTTAAGTGTCCATATTCGTCTACAAGATTTAGCTGTACTATTACAGTTTTAAGAATTTCTATGTAGTCCTGTATTATATACTGTATTTCCTCTGAAATAATAGTCATTTAATACTATTCCAAGGCTTGGGGGTATTTTCATTTGAACCATATGATTAATCTCGAGTTTAACTTTATTGTAATTGATTTTCATTCTTTTTCTAGGCCTGACATGTTAATTTTATGCCTCTTTTAGTGAAACTGTTTCTTTTACTGTGTTCTGTTGCGTAGAAAATGTTTTGCGTGGAAGGAACAGAAAGGGATGATGATCCCTTTCCTCCTCATCATAAGAGTCACAATTGCTATCTGTATAACAAAAGAAAGGTTAACAAGAGAAAAGCATAACAAATATATTAATGTATATAAGCACAGTAGCCAACAAAAAATAGGAAGAGTTAGAGGAGGGCCAGACGATTGAAGCGTAAATACCTTCTTCGTAGAGGAGAGGGAAGTGGTGGCTGTAGGCAATTTTAAGAGACAGTAAATGATTTCAGGAGAGATGAATGGGCAGAAATTAGCTTATAAATGAGTCTCTTTGTAAACTGAGTGGGACCAGAGAACAAACAATAGCATGGGACAAAGTTTATTTGGGCTGTAGGTGTGGTGTTTAATTTTCGGTCTCTGTGATATGACTTTTAATCTTCTCTGGTTAATGAAATTTTAGGGAAGGGATCGAAGGCAATTGTGTTCCTCTTTGGCGGTCCAGTTTCTAGGTAGATAAGGGCACTTCAGAGAACAGTCTCAGCCTATGTTTTGGGAGAGACAGGAGGGAAGGAGAAGGTCAGAGAGACCTTGAAGCTGCTGCTTTAGTTCAGCATGTCAAAGTGACAGATTTGGGGATATTATTTTCTGAACCCCAAAAGTACATTCTTATCATTTGTAATAATTTGGAAGATGGATAATTTGATTTTAATGTGAATACTGGCAACTTTAGCAATTTTCATAAATTAATTTGTATATATTATGCTGTTATAAAAACAAAAAATGCCAGCTTTGAACTCCATTTCATGGAAATATAAACATAATATTTTTGTGCTTTTTTTTCTCCCTATTTGATATATTTTTAATCTGGGGTTGAAAACTCTGCAATTTTTTTTAAAAAGTATTCTTTTTACAAAGCATATTTTTGTCATTCACATCCTATGTTAGTTACCATAGTTACACCAATTATTGAAACCTAGCAGTGTCAATCTTTCTCCCAATGCTAGTGATTTTTGAAGATTTTTCTTGCTTGCTTCTGTATTTACAGCTAGTTCTTTTCTATCACAACTTCTCAATGATAAAGTTTTAAATTTGATTCATTTTTATTTTCCAGCGGATTTTTAATATCTTTAATCTTTTTTATTTCCTAGAAATATTGGAGTATTGAGGGTTTTTTTGTTTGTATTGTTTTGTTTTTTTCTGAAACTTTGAAACTCTGCCATTCTGCTCTAAAACATGAGTGCTAAATTGACTGGTGACTATATTTTTGTGTCATGATTTTCTTCCATTTTCGCTGACAAAACTCAAAACACATTTTTATATTGTTTATAGCGGACAAAAGAACAAAAAAATTGAACTCTCCTGATTTTAAGTTAATTTTTGGAGGATTACTTGTTTATTAGTTTAGGGTTCAGGTTCACTTTGATTTTGTTGGAAATCAAATTCAAAATTAATGGAAAATACATTGGTTCTTAAATTTGCCATGAACACAGTGAGACATCTTAGTTTCCTTTTGTTTCAGGTCCTTTTTCTAATCTGTCAAGATCTTTTTTAAAATTGGCTTTTGATCCATTTTTCTCCTCCTTCGGAGTTGACCATTACTTGTAAGTTGGCTCTCTGTCATTTACCCTTTATGTCTATTATCTTCTCTCACCTTTGTATGTCTTCATTCTAAATTGTAGGATTACATCTCAGGTTATCATTTTATTTTAGAAAATGTATTGTTCTGCCATGTCATGTGTGTTGTTTTGTGCTGCAATGCAGAATTTATTTCAACTTCTAAATTAAAAAAAAAAAACAACACTGATTTGAGCTCTTCTTATTTTTGTCTATTTGCTAAAAGCCTGGCTTTATATCTCATTAAGAATCTGAGTTAGAAATTTTTTTTTTTTTTTTTAAGTTTTTGAGTCCGAGTCTTGCTCTGTCTCCCAGGCTGGAGTGCAATGGCATGATCTCAGCTCACTGCAAACCCTCCTGGTTTCAAGCAATTGTTCTGCCTCAGCCTCCTGAGTAGTTGGAATTACAGGTGTGTGCCTGTAATCCACCACATCTGGCCAATTTTTGTATTTTAGTAGAGATGGGATTTCACCATGTTGGCCAAGTTGGTCTCAAACTCCTGACCTCAAAAGATCTGCCCGCCTCGGCCTCCCAAAGTGCTGGGATTAGAGGCATGAGTCACCATACCAGGACATAAATTAGTTTTTTCCCCCTGTTTCCTGAAGTAAATTTATTTCTGGGAAAGTATTTATTTTTAACATTTCAAGATTGTATAATATTAAATATATGCAGAAAATTGCATAAAATGTATGTCTGGTATAACACATTGTTAAAACTCAACACCCATATAACTACAATGTAGGTTGAAAAGTTGAACACAGCCAGCACTGTAGAAGTCTTTTGCAAGACCAGCTGTACAATATGCAGGACTCGGTGCAAAATAAATTGTGGGTTCCTTTTTCCAAAGTATTAAGAATTCCAAGACAGCAAGAGCAGACCCTTAAACCAAGCCCAGGGCTTTTCTGAGCATGTGTCCTCAGACAATACCACAAACTGTATGCTAACTTTCAAAGATGGTGTGAGGAGCGAAGGAGATTGTGTATGTGTAACCAGTATGTTGAATACGTGTGATGCATGGATTTTTATCAAAATGCAACTTTATTTTCTTGTCTCCCACAGTCAGGCAGGGTAGTCTTTTGCCCTAGAAGAAACCTCCAGCAGGCCCGAAATTATTATGCAGACTCTTAGATAGGACACAGCCATGCAGAAAAGTTGCAAACCTTTTATCAGTTAGATAATTAGAATGCCTAGTACTGTTAGTAATTGTAACTTCTAACTTTCATACTCTGAGTTTTTTCCTCCTTTAGCCTGGACCTGCTTTAGCCTGGAGACCTATAATGGGAAACGCAGGGTCTTCCACCCACACTAACTTGCTATTCTTTCACTCTGACTTTAAGTAGAAAGGACATTAATCAGATGGGACATTATTGCTTGGTTTTGTGACTTAGATCACTGGCATTCATAAAACCACCTTTGCAAACATTGTTATCGGTGAGAAATTATGACAGTGAAAGAGATCTGAGTTAACCCACCCCGCCATCTTGTTACAACGCATAGGTAGTCAGGCATGATTGAAGAGAGGATTCCCGCCACCCACCAGGCATGTCAGGCGACCATCAGGTGATGGTCCAGCAGCTGTCACACTAAAATAATAGCTCGTCACAGATGCCAAAGAGAGGCAATTTCCCAATATATAGAAACACTTGAAATTGATAATCGGCAGCTTCCAATAAAATCTCAGGAATTAGACAAGTGGGCTTGAGCATGAGCATTAAGAAACAAAATGGTGGAGTATGACCTTCTCAGGGCATTCCACCAGAAAAGGGAAGAAAGCTTCAGATGTGCATGTGCACAGCTTCCTAAACACACTGCACATGCTCACCTCCGAAGCCAAGGAGGGCTCTGCACAAGTGGAAGCCCCACCCTAGGGGAAGAATGAAGGAAAAGGGGTACAAGACTATGGGAGAGGGCCAGCATATAAAGTCCTAGGATCAAGGTTAAACAGAATACTTGACCTCCAAAGTGCCCACTTGGGTCTCTTCCAAGTGTACTTTCTTTTCTTTCCAGCTGTAAATATTTTTAATGAACTTGCACTCCTGCTCTGAGATTTAACTTAGCCTCTTTTTCTATCTTATGCCCCTCCGTCAAGTTCTTTCTTCTGAGGAGGCAAGAACTGAGGTTGCTGCAGACCTGTATAGATTTGTCACCGGTAACTTGGATATTTGCCAGCCCCAACAATCTTGTTTTTCTCTTAATTATTCCTGGGTTATTGGGCCAAGCTAACTTTGGAAGACATTTTGGCTATAGTTTAAACAATAATAGGCTTTGCCCAAACTCCACTGCTTTTGCAAAGCGAATGCAAGTTCATCAGGCCTCAGGGGAGGAGAAGCGTCTGAGTCCTGCTACAGTGCAGACATAAATGATTGTCAGCTATTATTACAGACGTTATAACATAGACAACTTCCTGCAGAGACCACTACTGTAGAACCTAGGATTGATTGGCCTTTTGAGATATCCTTTCAAGTACTGTAACATCTGACACGTGTGGATCCATCTGAACCAACCAACACTGCTCCTGTGGCCCCATCCAGAAGTGATTCAGCCTATAGGAGGACAATATCAACCCCCTATGATTTCATCTTTGTCCCAACCAATCAACAGCAAGCCACCGTCACCTGGCCACTCCCACCCTTTCCTCCAAACTACCTTTGAAAAACTTCTAACCTAGGAGTTTTGGGCAAGAATGATTTGAGTACTACCTCCACCTCCCATGAGGTGTGGCTAGCCTCATATCTATTAAACTCTTTCTCCACTACAATGCCTTGGTCTGTCTTTGTGCAGTGGGCCGGAAAACGACCTCAGGTGGTTACATTTGTATATCTTCGAAGTTGCCTTTCTTTTCTTATGTATTTAATGAGTGCTTCAGTTCAGGTTGGCTCATCTTTTCTAGTTTCCTAAAGCAGCAGTCCCTATCCTTTTTGGCACCAGGGACAAACTTCGTGAAAACAGTTCTTCTGCGGACTGGGGGCTGGGAGAATGATTTCAGTATAATATTGTTCCACCTCAGAATCACCACTAGATTCCCATAAGGAGTGTGCAACCTACACCTCTCACATGTCCGCTTCACAGTAAGGTTCACACTCCTATAAGAATCTAATGCCACTGCTGACCTCATAAAAGGCAGAGCTCAGCTTTGCTTGCTCACTGCTCACCTCCTGCTGTGTGGTCCTGTTCCCAATAGGCCAGGCCACAGACCAGTACCAGTCCCTGACCCCAGGGGTTGGGGACCTGCGCCCTAAAGGATGTGTCTTAGTTCTGTGGTTGCAGTGATTTCTTTCTAGGTTAACAGCTATTTACAGTACCTCCCTATTGCTACATCTTTCTGTTGTAATTCTCCTCTATCCCTTTATCTTACTGTAGAGTACAGTAAGATAGTGATATTGATATGGGAATTATTTTACCTTCACTTTGCTATCTGATAGCTATCTTTTCGTGCCCCGGTCTAATATCCTGAAACGTATAAAATTTTCAGAATACTCAATATATGGTAGCTATTTGTCTTCCTCCATAGATCTCATGATAGTTTTTTCCCTACTTACTCATCCTTTTAATAAAGAATAAGCCACATGGATTCATTGGGAGAGTTGCTATAAACCACTTCACAGTGGCCCTGGGTAGAAAAGATGTTCCTTTAAGAACTGAGACAGGCAAAGTCAGTTTGTCTCCCCTCTGAAACAGCTGTGGTCCACAGAAGATATTTTTTAAATGCCATTTCTTCTTTCCAGGGAACCTAAAAAGACTTGTGGATATCCTGGGAGGAAAAGGTAGGGGAGCTTTTACTTCTGTAGCTTGATGAATTTCAAAGTTCCTGCATAAAGAAGCAAAAAGAAACTTCAAGTAAGAGACTTTATATGGAACCTGAAGGCAAAATGCAAATTTGGTCTGAGGCAACTGAGCTTCCACCCTAAGAGGTGGAACTCTAAGAACCAGTTAACTTGAATAGCTAGTGGAAGCAAAGAAGTGAAATTAAGAGAGCAGGTTCCAAAAGAGAGCAGACTTTCAATTCGAACTCATGAATAAGGCATAAGGAGAACAGTGTCAAACCCTAGAAGAACACAACATTTCCTTGATCTTTTTTCCCCATTGAAGTGCATAAAAGATTCTTTTCAAAATAGTTTTGAGTATTTTAATAAAAAAAAATTTGCAAAGAGATTTTTGAAGATAAATTCTAGCATTTTTCTCACATATCAGAAGTTGTTGCTTAAAACAGAAAAAGTTAATTTTGCATTGTTAGCTTTAACATCAACATTCACTCTTCAGATTATACGATGTTTCCTTAATAAATTGTTCTTGAGTCTGTATCACGTAAGAAATAGGGAAGTAACAGTGAACAGAAGTGGATAAAGTCCTGTTCTCATAGGGCTTGGGTCTCTGAGAGGGAATCAAGAGTCAACAAGGAAACACAGAAATATGCAATATTTGGTTTGCTTCTAAGTGCCAAGAAGAAAAATAAATCCTGGTAAAGGGAAAGAGAAGAAGGAAGGAAAAGTGGAATGACGGTTTGTTGAGATAAGTTGTTAAGGAAGTGATGTTTCTTGTGGTAAAATTCTCAGATACCTAAATCAGATGAGTTACTTGACGGAAGAGTATCAGGCATGAGAACAAATGCAAGTGTAAATATTAAGGATAATAATTATAGAAGTATTAATCATTGAGATAGCAGTAGCAGTAGATACATCATTAAATGCATACTATATATTCACCTATTGTTCTGAGCAATTTCTGAATATATTTATGCTAGTATCAGGTTTTGTTTTTTTTTTGATGCCCTTAAGGGTTTTGCTTTTTGTTCTTTGTGAGTAGAAGGGACTATTTGAGATTTACTTCTCTTTTTATTACGTTTTAAAAATGTGATTGTAGATTCATGTATAGACGTAAGGAATAATACAGAGAGGGTCTGTGCACTTCATCTGGCTCTCCTAATGGAATCCAACGTCTTACAAATCTAGAGTACAGTAAGATAGTGGGGATATTGATGTTAATGCAATCGTCAATCTTATTCAAACGTTGCCAGGTTTGCATTTTCTCCATTTGCATGTGTGTTTATTTTATTCTATGCAGTTTTATCACATTGTAGATTCATGTGACCAACACTGCAGTCAAAATACCAACAGTTTTGTAGCTCTGAAGATTCATCATACTACCTTTAGCTATACCATCTTCCTTTTCATCTGGCTTTTGGTAGACCCTATCACCTGGCAACCACTAATATGTTCTCCACCCCTATAATTTTCAGTGGTGTAATATGAATGAAACCTGATAGTATATAATCATTTAGGATTGGCTTTTTTCACTCAGTATAATTCCCTAAGATTAATCCAAGTTGTTACATCTATTAATACTTCATTCCTTTTTTACTGTTGAGTATTATTCTATAGTACAGACATTCCACAACTTGTTTAACCATTTACTTTCTTTTTTGAGACAGAGTCTGGCCCTTGTTGCCCTGGCTGGAGTGCAATGGCGTGATCTTGGCTCATTGCAACCCCTGCCTCCTGGGTTTAAGTGGTTAAGTGGCCTCAGCCTCCCGAGTAGCTGAGATTACAGGCATGTACTACCACACCTGGCTAATTTTTTGTGTTTTTAGTAGAGACGGTGTTTCTCCATGTTAGTCAGGCTGTTCTTGAACTCCTGACCTCAGGTGATCCACCCATCTTGGCCTCCCAAAGTGCTGGGATTACAAGCGTGAGCCACGGTGCCCGGTCTTAAGGGACATTTGTACTGTTTCTACTTTTTGGCCATTAAAAATAAACCTGCTATGGGCACTTATGTGCAAGTTTTTATGTAAACTTAAGTTTTCATTTCTTTTCAATATATGCCCAAGGGTAGAATTGCTGGGCCATGTGATAAGTCATGTTTAGTTTTGTAAAACACTGCCAACTGTTCTGCAGAGTAGTTGAATCATCTTAATTCCCAACAGCAATGTATGAAGGATTCAGTTTCTCTACATTGTTGCCTGAGTTTGGTAATTTCATTATTTTTTAATTTTAGCTATTCTAACAGGGATTACTTTGTTTTTTACAAATTAGTGTTCTGTTTGCCACACTCATACATTCAAAAGGAGGATTTCATCTTTAAGTATGAAACTGTAGCTTATGATACTTATTCTATTAATATATCTAGAAAATTTTAGCAATTTTCAAGAGCCATTTAATAGTATTTGGTCTCGTCTGCACATTTAATCAATTTTCAACATTTTAAACAGTATTTATACATTTGATGTGATCTGTTTCCTTTTAAATTACTTCAATTGTCTAACTAACATAAAAGTTTTAAAGTACTCAAAAAATTATAAATATAACAAATTAAACATTTAAATAAGGTGAAACTATTCCACATAATGGCTTTGGACTTGTGATTTTAAATTGAAAGCTTATTAAATTTACATACTAAACTAAAAGTTAACCATTTTTGACAAATGGAAAAAGGATACTTTTTAACAAACGATGTTGGAACAATTTGATATCAGTAGCCCCCCAAAAAAGAACCTTGGCCTAAACCTCAGATACAAAACTTAACTCAAAATGGATTCTTAAGACCTAAATGTAAAACATAAAACTACAAAAATCTTAGGAGAGACTATAATAGAAAATCTTCTGACTTCATATTAAGTGACATTTCTTTGACATGACACCAAAGGCACATTCCATAAAAAAAAAATCTGTAAGTTGGACTTCTCAAAATTAAAAACCTTTTCTCTGTGAAAGTCCTTGTTAAGGCAATGAAAAGAAAAGCCACCAACTAGGAGAAAATATTTTGCAAATTATATATTTGGCAAATAACTAATTTTCAGAATATATTTAAAAATTCTTCAAACTCAAACTTAATTAAAAAACCGAACAGTCTAATTAGAAAATGAATAAAAGACTCAGACATTTCACCAAAGTAGACAACTAGATGGTAAGTAAGCACATGAAAATATGTTTAACAGTCAAGGAAATACAAATTAAAGCCATTAGGAGATACCCTGAACACTTATTAAAATGACCAATAATAATAATAATTCCAAATGCTGATGAGCATATGGAGTAACATACTTTCCTACATTGTTGCTGTGATTGTAAAATGGTACAGCACTCTGGAAATTGGTCTGGCACTTTCTTAGAGTTAAATGTATGCTTTACCTGTGACCTCTCAATAGACAGTTTTACTCTTTCCTCTTAAATATGTATGCATTTTATTTTTGTTTTCTTTTGTTTTATTGCCCCAATAGGAATTCAAATATAATATTAAATAGAAACGAGAGTTGATATCTTGACCTTCTACCCATTCTTAGGAGAAAGGTGTCCAGTATCTTACAATTAAGAATTGTATTAGCACTGAGAGTTTTGTAAATAGTCTTTACCAAGTTGAGAACATTTCCAATTTTCCTGTACAAATTGACATGATCATATGATTTTTCTACTTTATCCTGATAAGACGTTGGATTACATTGATTGGTTTTCAAATGTTGAACCAGCCTTGCCTACCTGGAGTAAATTCCACTTGGTCATGGCATATAATTTTTAATACATTGTTAGATTTGATTTGTTTATGTTTTCTTGCAGATTTTTCTGTTAATATTCATGAGAAATACTAGTTTGTAGTCTCATTTTCTTGTAATGCTTTTATCTGGTTTTATTTTAAAGTAATGCTGGTCTTACAGAATGAGTTAAGGAGTACTTACACTGCTTCTATTTTCTGAACGGGACTTGGTACTATTTTTTCAAGAAATGTTTGATAGTGAGTGAAACCATATGTGCTTGATGCCTTTTTTTCTTGTGATACCATTAATTATTGATTCAATTTCTTTAATGGATATAGGACTTCAGTTTACTCATTTCTTCTTGTGTGAGTTCTGACAGTTTGTGTCTTTCAAGGAATTGGAACATTTGATCTAAGTTACTGATGTAAGTATGATTTATGGCCCTAGATTTGTTCATAGTGTTCCCCTATTATCTACTTAACTTACTTTTTCATTTCTGATATTGCTAATTTGTGTCTTCTCTCTACTTTCTCGGTTAGCATGACTAGTGGTTTATCAATTTTACTGATCTTTCCAAAGAAATAGCTTTTGGTTTTATTGATTTTCTCAACTGGTTTCCTGTTTCCAATTTCACTGATTTCTGTTCCAATTTTTGTTATTTCTTTTTTGCCTGCTTAGGATAAGCTGATTAAATCTTAATCTTTATAGGACTTACATCTTAGGTTGGCTGAGAGGAGATTATATGTGGAAGAATTTCCTTCCCCTAGAAGGGAACATTTCGGAAGTGTGCTTTAGGAAAGCTATTTTGCTGGAGAGTATGCCTTTTTTTATGGAAAAATTTTCGACATGTGGTACAATGCTACTCTTTCCTTCTGCCTGCCAGAGCCTCAAGGGGATCTTTCTCAGCTCTCCAGCTTGAGAATGTGAAGGTTAGCTTCCAGGAGGTAGATTCCATGAAAGTGTGATGAACCCCTATGAGTGTGGTCACCAAAAGTAGTTCATTCTCATTCTATTCCACACTAAGCCTCCAGAAATTTGTTGAAATTACTCTTTAAGAGTTCCTACCAGTTTATGCTCCATTGGCTCTGCTCACTATGCAAAGATTTTGGTTGATGTATCTTTCTGGGATACACCTGCTTCTCTAGATTTCAGGGTGGCAATTTGCTTAGTAACCTCAGTCCTCTGATGGGTCCAAGAAATGTAACTGCTTGTAGTTGATTCAGATTTTTTTGTTGTAAGGATAGGAGTGACAGCTTTGCAGCTCTTAACATGATGGCGCTGAAATAAGAAGACTTGACTGTGTTTAATTTTAAACATGACATATTTAATAACGAATTTATCCCTTTAAAGATGTTTACAGCTAGGAAGAAAATAATTATCTTGAATACCTGAAATTTTGTACCATCTGATAATCTGGTTTACTGTGTGATATGGAGTTCCAGATGTTGAGGGCCTTCTTCGTGCTGACTAACTTCCCTAATGGAACTCCATATTTTTATTAATAGAAATTATATTCTGGCTTTTATATTTTCAAGAGTCCAGTGGTCAAGTGACACAGATCTCCAGTTTAGCTCTGTCTTCATGACATCATGGAAGTCTGCCAGTTTTCCCAAATGGATTTTTTTTTTATTTTGCACTTTAAAACATATTTTACAATATTTAAATATCTTTATGAGTACGTCTAAAGGTCTTACCATGACAGGTATTCCACAATATGTAAATATATTTCCTGCCTTATGCAAAAAACCTTTGACCTTGATTGAATCCTGTATTCTCAGGATCTCAGACATCTATGGATATTGTAAATGCTACTACTAATAAAGAGATAATATTACTTCTATTTCCACAAAGAAAATTTACACTTTGGGCCAGCTGTGGTGGCTCACAGCTGTAATCCCAGCAGTTTGGGAGGCCGATATGGACAGATCACCTGAGGTCAGGAGTTTAAGACCAGCCTGACCAATATGGAGAAACCCCATCTCTACTAAAAATACAAAATTAGCCAGGCATGGTGGTGTATGCCTGTAATCCCAGTTACTCCACAGGCTGAGGCAAGAGAATCACTTGACTCCGGGAGGCAGAGGTTGCAGTGAGCCGAAATCATGCCATTGCACTCCAGCCTAGGCAACAAGAGCAAAACTCTGTCTCAAAAAAAAATTATGTTTTGAAAAATTAAGTGATATCTCCAAAGGAGAAAATGTAGTTAAGTATTGGATCTGAGATTCAATCGAAGTCTTCTGAGTTTAGATACTAAACCTCACCATAGAGATAAAATGAGCAATAGCCAGAAATATTCATAGCATAAGACACCATGTACCATAGGATATTAAGAAACAACATGCTATTAGGATTGTAAGAAAAGATTTATTACATCTTATTGGGGAGATTTGGAAAATGTAAAAATATCACTTTTGAAAAGATTTAAATAAGATTCTATATATTTATGCATATATTCTATAAATTTAATCCCTAAAAGATGACAATATATTGTCATTTAAGAGTTTAAATGTTTAAATAGATATGAAATTTTAATTCAACAATTCTCACTAGTAATGTTTTCTAATAGAGTTCATGGTAAATATTTCCAAGGATGAAGCAATGTTTTTGGACTGGTTGAGACGTTAAGAGGAGAATTAAAAAATTACAAACTGAAAAATATAATATGCAATAGTAATGATTACCCCTAGCACTTAAATCTTGGTGTCTAAATACCATTGCCTACTCAAAGGAACCAAGGATCACTGGATAAATGATTTACTTTGTTTGGGGCAAGGAAAGTATGCGGTAAACACATTGTATCAGAAAGTAAGGGTGCAGTTGAAATTTATGAAGACATCACAGCTACATAATAGCTGGTCTGAAGAAATTCTCATTGGCCAAATTTCAAACACTTTGAACTTCAAAATAGATCGTGAGAATAATGAATTATAAATATTTAAATGAAAAAGAATAAAATAATTCATAAGCCAACTGAGCTAACTTTCCCCAAAATAAAGAGATGGAGGAATAAAGGAGAACTCACCAGCTAATAATTTTTTTGAAAAAGAGTTAGAAATAATCTTTTTTTTTTACCTAAGATATAATAACTTTTGGGCAAAATGTACAAATAGATAGTAAAAGCATTGCATGAAATGTAGCGGGAGAATGAGAGATTCACACCATGTCAACATGTCAGCAAACAGATTATTTATGAATTACAAAAGGAAATAGCTATATACATAATGAAATCTGACAGATACTGCTAGCATTACTAATAATGGAACAAACTAACATCATTTACCATCTAATGTCATGCAGCAGCAGGTGCGAAGAAACACCTATTGTAGTATTCAGGCCTGAGGTGTTTAAAGTAAAATTAATCATGAGGTAACACTAAACAAAATCATCTATTGGGGCATTCTACAAACGGAATCTGGAATCTTCAAAGGGTCAGTGTAATAAATGTCAGAGACAGAGAGAGAGAGAGAGCGAGAGAGAGAGAAAATCACTTTCCTAGATTATAAGAGTGTAAAGAGATAAAGAGGCATAATTCTTGCTTGGGTGGGTCACATTAAAAATGTAATTGATGGGGTAATTGGTGGTCACTTGAATATTTACTCAGTGTCATAATTGTGGTACTACAAGTATGGCCCTTAAGACAGTGCCAATTGGCTTTTAAATTTCTTAAATTGGTTTTATTGGTCAACAA